TCTGTTCAAGAATAGAATATTGACGCGCACCCTAAACCCTAAACCCTTAACCCTCAACTTCCTCAAAACTGCCAAGGAAATAACAAGTTAAACTGTTAGGTTTCTACGAAACTATAAGAGCCCAAAAAGTTTAAAGGTTGGGTGTTGAGGAGCTAAGATAACTAATTATGGATTTAGGGTCTGCGCTTCCTCAAGGTTTCGAGTCGCACACTCGCAGAATGCGGGCACGGGTTCGGGGTTGTAGGGTTTTTTTTACGCTGAGCAGGTGGTTCTCGAAGCTTCGGTGCTTTGTCCCACAGGTTGCAGAACAAGCTGGCGAGACTCGGCGAGGGTTTGCCACCAGGGCCCAACTCGTTGCCTAAACTCGAAGCTTTGCAATCTTTATATACTTTCAACTGCCATGTGACTCTCAAATTCTGCACCAGTATAAAATTTCTAGCCACATCATCCGAAACCATAGAAATAGACCCCCGAAACCAGCAAGAAAAATCAACATCGATAAGCCACCCGATAACAGCCACACAAGCCTGTCGGACTCCGCAGACACTTGAACCGCTCAACGCCAAAGCTTCAACATGCCAACAAGACTCAACTACAAGCCTGCAAAAACCCCAAAAGGAAGACCACACCCCTCAACCCTCAACCCTCAACCCTAAACCCTAAACCCTATAAGTCCCAAGCCTCCCCAAGCCCTTCAATTCCGAAACTCGCAACAGGCCTAGCCGAAGCCGCTCTTCAGCCAAGTCCAGTTCGGCCTCCTACAGATCGGCCCCGTGTTCTGTCTAAGGGTTCCTATGAGATAGTCTCTCTCTATATATATATATATGTATATATATATAGAGTTTACTTGTAATTATATGTACATATGTATACTTTATTGATATATTTATATACTTATACGCTTATATTTCTCATCACATAATTGGGTTTTAGGTTCCAGGGTAATGCCAGGATCTAGGGTGGGTGGGTGGGGTTTATGGGCTCAAGGCTTCAGTTTCTGCAGGGTGTATCTGCTTCTGCCGGAAACCCTAAACCCTAAACCCTAAAATCTCTGCGTTTGGGGAGGCACTGTGCATAGCCAAGGGCTCGGATGATCAGCGATTCGTGCCCATTCGTCTATCCGGTGATCTCGGGCTTCCTTCGGGTTGCAGGTTAGGGTTTAGGGTTTAGGGTTTAGGGGTTTAAGTTGTGATGGCAGAAAAGCTCTGCGTCGCTGGCCTGATTCAATGGAAATGACAGATTCGGTGTCAGATGACATGACAGATTCGAAGTTGCCGGCCTCAGGCCAGGTGGAGAACTCGTGAAGCATAGTTAATCAGACGTTGAGAGACACAGCGGCCTAGGGCAACACAAACTTTCATATTATAGCATATGCACACCACCCACACAACATGCATGGCAGGTGGTCCGGCGAAGGCGTAAACCAAAGTCCCGCGCACACACGCACACAAACACGCAAGTTCGACGAGTTTTCGAGGAAATGCCTTTGGCTGGCAACATCTTCTGCGCATGCGTCCCATGCCACAATCTGGAGTCCATCGTTTCCAAGGGTTCATAGTCAATCCCACAGGCTCCAAGCTAGATGAAGGGGACACTCTCTTGGCATGCCGGGCTCTCAAGGTTAAAGGGGAGGTCCTTCGATTGACTCCAGGCCCCATGTGGAGGGGACCCCCCTGCTGTACAGATTTGTACATGTAGGGGTTGTTCTGTCTCTATGTATCGGAGTCTGTGCCGGGTACCGGCAAGAGGCTTTGTCTGAGGATTGCAAAAGTCACTTTAATTTAGATAACTGCATACATACATAAATATGAACATAATATAAATAAATAAATAAATAAATAAATAAGTATACATCAATAAAGGAAAATTGTATATATATATATATATATATAATACAGGAGCCTCCATAACTTAGGGTATGTCGGCTATGTTCTAACATATTAAGGAAACCTATGAGCAATAATGCTTTTGAGGCTATTCAGGCTTCTAGAATACTTCAGAACAACCCACATGCGAAGGGAGAACGGGAAACTGGCATGGCTGGGCGCCCAAAGAAAGGCAGCGGTCGCCAACTTGCCGTCACGAAGCGCCATGGCCCCCCCCTTCTGTTCGAAGGCATGTGTGAGGGCATTTTGCATACTGTATCGTGCATACGTCTATGCACGGGGCGCGGCTGTACTTGTGTATAAATGTATACCTGCGTGGGCGCAGCTATTGGGTCCAGGGCGCTCGCCACCCGTTGCACATGCAAGTGCTTCACTCGATCATGGCTTCAAGCTCTTTCTCCGAGAGCGCTGTTGGCGGAACACCTGCGATACACTGGGGGCTGACCCGACGATCCCATGGGCGTACTAATGTGCTTTGCTACTAATATGTGGACCTTGCGCTATGGATGCAATGCTGAGGCTTACAATAAAGCCCGCGAGGGCCACATCCTTCATGTCAGCTCAGAACCTCTTGGAAGATCTGCTTGCTAATGAACTTCTCAATGGCTACCGTACTTGGGACTGGCAGCCTAAAGGATCAGGATTTTTAATCCGGCAGTGCGCCTTGCTGTGCGGAAGCCGTCGCGGAGAGGCCCACAGCCGAGGCTGTAGCAACATCAGATCCTGGCCAAAGGCTTTGGCTGCTGTGCACCCGTGTGATGCCGCCAAGCCATTTCCTCACGGCTTGCTTTCTTTTAGGAGCCTATACCCTAAGCCCTAAACCCTAAACATCCTCCGCACGACGGCAAAGGCATCACCTGTCGCGTCTCGCGACTGAATCATCTGCCGTTGCTGCATATGAAACATGCATGTACTCGGCAAGCCTATGATTCGTCTGCATGCTTTAGGGTTTAGGGTTTAGGGTTTAGGGTATAGGTTCTAGTTGAAGTTGCTATGTTATATACATAGCGAGAGAAAGAAGACATAGAGAGAGAGAGAGAGAGACAGGTGTTGGGGACTTTACACGAACTTAATGCGCACGAACTTAATGCGCAGTTTTTTTCAAGCATCGTTCGTTCGCGTCTTGGCATGCGGCTAACTAATTACTCCACACAAAGGAAAGGAATTCGGGCTCGGGGAACCCACTCTATCATGAAGGTTCCCGCGTCATGAAGAACCCAGCAGGTGATTAGGGTTTAGGGTTTAGGGACAATAGACAAACCATGAGATAGTCAGAGGAAGCAACTTTTGGTGCCGGACGATCCACAAACTGAGTCCTGCAAAGGCCTCACAACAACATACAACAACGCTGTAGAGATGCACGGCATTCTGTTTAATCAGTACATTAATGTTTGCTCGGGTCAGCGAACTGTATTCATCTACACATAATTAATTGCACAGAACCCATCCACACATCAGGATCGAATGCATCCTTTGCGCTTCGGACTTTCGCATGTAGACACAAACAGACAAAATGGCAGGGGAATCTGACCTTCGAGGAATGCTTTGGCGTCCGCGGCAGTGACGGTGCTGGTGACCTGAAGCAGAACGATGTACTGGGTTCTCAAGTTCTTGCCGGTCCACGTCAGAGAATGTAAGTCTCACGTTGGGAAGAAGAGTTTCTAGCTGCACGGCCAGTGATTTTGTGCATCAGCAGCTACTCGCAGCAAGTTGCCAGTCACTTGTCTTCACACACCACAAGCCCCTCCCCCCCCTCACCGACCCTGCTTTGCTCTGGAAGTTTCGACCGGTGTCGCCCAGCCGGGAAGTCTGGCGCTCCCGTACCCCCTCTAGCCTTGAATTTGCTGTGGCCATTGTCTCGAGACTGGGGAAGGGGGTTCCCAAAACCTTATGCCTGCTACAATGCGCTACACTCAACCTTAAACCTTATATGCCCTAAACCCCGATGCCCGACCCTAAACCCGAAAGCCTAGGCCGCAAACCCTAAACCCTAAACCAGAGTTGGAGGTAAAAATGTTGGTCACTGGTCGGCCGTGTTCCCTAAAACCCCCACGGCTGGCAGCGTTTCTGGCAGCTCTGGGTCGCGGGCCACCTCTGTGTCGGTGATCAAGCCAAGCCCTCCATCCTCCAAGAACTTCGAGGATTTTGGGGTTTGGGGTTTAGGGCTCATAAGGGACCGTCTAGGCTTAAGGTTTTAGGGTTTAGGTTTGGGGTTTAGGGCTCATAAGGGACCATCTAGGCTTAAGGTTTTAGGGTTTAGGGTTTAGGGCTCATAAGGGACAATCTAGGCTTAAGGTTTTAGGGTTTAGGGTTTGGGGTTTGGGGCTCATAAGGGACCATCTAGGCTTAAGGTCTTAGGGTTCAGGGTTTAGGGTTTAGGGCTCATAAGGGACCATCTAGGCTTAAGGTTTTAGGGTTTAGGGTTTGGGGTTTAGGGCTTAAGGAACCATATAGGTTTAAGGTTTAGGGTCTACAAAGGGGGGCTTGTGGGACCTAAGATTGTTTAGGATGGCTTTTAGCCTCCCGCCTGACAGGGCCGAAAGGGGGGTTTGGGTTTTTAGGGTTTCGGGTTTCGGGTTTCGGGTGTTGGGGTTTAGGGTTTTAGGCTTTTAGGGTTTTTAGGGATTTAGGGTTTTAGGGTTTTGGGTTTAGGGTTTTAGGGTTTAGGGTTCGGACAATGCAGGCGAGGTTGGTTCGGTTCGCTAATCTGTGCCTTGATGCCCACCTGCCTCCGCCTCCAAATCGGGTAGAAGGCTTCGGGAGGATTTGTAGTTGATCCCCCTGAAATGGTAAGTTAATATAAGGGCCTTAATAACTACCTATACTCTTTTGGGGATTCCCTACTATAGTTGCAAGGGGCTTAATTTTTCGGGATTCGAGTTGTCAGTGCCCTTTATGGGACTTGGGGGTTTTGGGGCTTTCCGGAGCTGGGTCTCCAAATCTATAATAAGGCTTCGGCGTCCTCGCAGTAAGGATCATACTCCCCAACGTTGTTTCTTATTTTGTTGTGAGGGCTGCTCTTTTTCTGAAACTCCCATGTTCATCATGGCACAAATGCAACACTGATCTCGTGTCGTGAACCTCTTTGCGGTGATGCTGACGCTCTCGCAAGTGAGTGTTGACACCAAAACCCTAAACCCTAAACCCTAAACCCTAGAGTCGGACCCCCTGTCTCGACAGGTCTGGTTGGTTCTGTCTCGATCGTCTCTCGTTGGAAGAGTCGCCAAGGCTCCAGGATCATAGACCTTAAAACCCTCAAACCCTGCGTAGCAACTTGCTATCCTCACCGCAAGGCCCAAGCCCAAGGCTTCGAACGATTGAGCTTTTAGCGGTTGTGTGGGACCGAGATGACAGTTTATATTCAAGCTGCCATAACCGCACCAAAAAGTCATGTCTTTCGCCACGTATCCGTATTGTACTGATTCATTTACACTTACAATATGTTCGTTCTGATTGTTAACTACCTATAGTCTTTATTGTAGTTCCTTTTTTTGGTATAACCAATTATATATTAAGGATCCCATAAGGTATCCCCAAAAAGGAACTACAATGGAGACTATAGGTATTGTTACCCTAAGGGTCCATGTACCCAAATAATATATACATTGGCCCCAAAGTACCTATATAGGGACTACTTTAAGGCCCAAGTATATACTATTTGGGCACATGGACCCTTAGGGTTAACTAAGGAGAACCCAGTTCAGGGGTGTTTTGGAAGCTCCTACCTTCACGACTCGCTCCCACAGCAGGGACAGTCGCTTCGTCATCCGCAGGCGCACCTTCCGCGCGAACCTGCTTGGTTTCGGTTTTTGGTTTAGGGTTTACAGCTTTGGGGGTTGTGGACATTTGGGATGTATGGGACTTAAGATTAAACCCTGGGCTCAACCAGTAGCATGTTCAGGGCCAGGGGAGTTTGTTCCTTCAGTCTCCGGCGATAGCAATAGGAGGCTTTGCAACTCTCTTGTCGGCTTTGTACCCTTCTGTTGAGTTTTGCAGTCGTGTAGGATGTTTCAGAACTAGGGCAGGATCTGTTTAGCCTCCTCCTGACCCCACCGCAAGTATACACACACACACACACACGGAGAACGGTGTAAGAAAAGTGTTACAGTAAAGGCATGCTGCCAATTCTTCTGAGCATCACTTGCGATACCTTAACTGCGGTACCTTAGTGTTTGTTGTCGTCGTCCTCCTCGACTTTGTCGTCAACCCCACTCCTCATCCACAAGCTGGCACGACGGCCCCAGGTACAATAAGAATTGAGCAAGCAGGTTATAAAGCAGGTACGTTTTCAGACGCTCCCCCGCTTGCATCGAATTCTTCGCATTCACGGACTCTTGGCTAAGCATCAAGGATTTTTCTGCAGACACGCACGCACACACACGCACACGCAGTTTTGCTTCCCTTGCAGCCGAGATCTGCCAAGGATGGGTTACCGGATCTCCCAACCCACAGGTCCTAAAGGCGCAAACCGAATCGCTTCCTGAGGCCTGAACTCGTTGTAGCTCGCTGCTTCACCCTCACCTGAACGGTAAGGGATCAATGTCCTGCTTTCCTAAACCCTAAAAGTTAAGAATTAAGGGCCAGGCTCCACTGGGCTTCTGAGCTCGGATGGGATCTTGGCTTCGTTTCTTTGCATCTTCAAGCATCAAGGGCCTGATTAGGGCTAGAGGGGCTGCAAATCTAAAGGGCTTTCTCGGCGCTCATGCCATGTGAGGTCCGGTTCAACGAAATAAGACTCATAAAGGACGTGTGTCACAAATCCTCTTGCTTACGACCGTGTTTCGTCGCGACTTTGACGCAACCGTGTCTAGCTGCTTAGCCTCAAGCTGGCACCATCGCAAAGCAGACGGCAAATCGAATCATGTAGGCCCTCGTCTACACCTGAAACAATCTAACTGTGTAAGAACAGTATAGTCCGGGAGCGCGTAGAGCTTCTGAGCCCCTCGCGCACACATCCACGCCGAAGGGTGGCCATGCAGCTGAGAGCCTCCGCAAAGACACAAAGACACACGGGTCTATGCTGGGAATGGGGTTTGGGGTTTAGGGCTTGAGGGTTTTAGTGCCCATGTTAGGGTGTCGGTGTGACACTCGGACAGGGTTTAGGACTTTGGGGTTGAGGGCTGAGGGCGGAAAGTCAAACAAATCTCGTGTCGTGGCACAATCTCTGAACAACCGAATGCAAATTGGACATGAAAGCGACCAAGTAATCCATGGCGACGATGCTCCTACTAACAACCTGCGACTGACTGGCCAGAAGTCGCTCGGAGGACTCGCAAACAGAAAGGACTTGAAAGGAGTGCAGCCTGGGCTTTATCCTTAGACGACAGGCTGCTCTACAATTCGTTGTCGCTATTGGGTATGGACCGTGCGATAGTACTCCTAGTAGGAATGGCAGGAGAAGTCGTCGTCGTAATGGTAATGGTAGTGGCAGTGGCATGGGCAGGTGGGGGTGGTAGTAGTAGTAGCGGTAGTGGCAGTGGTAGTGGCAGTGTTCGTGGTCGTGGTAGTAGTGGTAGTAGTGGTAGTAGTGGTAGTAGTGGTAGTAGTGGTAGTAGTGGTAGTAGTAGTCGTAGTAGCAGCAGTAGTAGCAGTAGCAGTAGTGGAGCAGCAGGAGCAGAAGCA